ATTTTAATTTCAAGACTTGATATTTTTCTGCTTATATTCTATCTATTTATATAAATATTTATAATAATAAAAAACATTGTACATTTTTCACATTTTAAAAACAACAATTAAATGTTTTTTATTAAGATGACAAATCAAAACAACCAATAACATTTGTTATTGAATTAAATATCATTACAATATTAATATTTGAATCTTGATTTGTAAAATTATTTGAAATTGTAATGTAAAAACATTGAACATGTTCAGATTTTGTTTTAATCATAAATTCACAATTTTTTTCAAAATGATTTTGAATACAATCAATAAAATTTAAAATCCATTTTTGTTGTGAATTTGTTGTAATTTTAGATAAAAATTCTAATAAATTATTTAATTCTAAATTAATAAATTCAATTGAATAATCTGCTAATGCAGAAATTGTTTGTTGATTTTTTAAATATTTTTGTCTAAAATAATCCAAAATATCATTTCTAATTATAGTAATATTAGCTTGTTTAAATAAAGTATCTAATAAATTAATAAAAATTAAATTCATTTGAATTGAATTTAAATTTTTAGAAGAAATTGAATGAATTAAATCCAAATGATTTCCATTTTTAGTATCAAAAATAAAAAATTTAAAAAAACTTGGTTGAGTCCAACATTTTGTAATAAATCTCCAACTTAGATTTGAATTATTTAAAATATTTTCAATTTTATCTAATTGTAATAATAAACTATTATTAATATTTTGTTTTGTAAAATAATAAAAACAAACAAGTTGCCAAATTTTTTCACATTTTACAAATTTTTTTAAAATGACAGTTGACACTTGACATAGAGAATTAATACTTCTCATTGAAAAAGCTCTATAACTTAGTATATGTATCCAAATATTCATATCTAAATTTTCAATAGTTGAAATTAATTTTTGTTCATTTCCATAATTGGAAATTAAATAAATATTTAAATTTGCTCCTTTTTCTTCTAAATGTGAAATTAAATCTTTACATGAATTTAAAATTTTACCATAAATAATATGTAATAAATGTAATGGTGTAATTCCATTTCTATTTTCATGATTTACAAAATTAATTAATTTTTCATTTCCTTCAAAACAATTTTCAAATTTTTCAATAATTAATTTCAAAATTGGTAAATTACAAATTCTAATAGAATCGAATAAAACATGTTCATTTCTTTCATATAATTTCATTGAATTAAATGTATATCCTCTAAATACTTGATCTTTCCAATGTTGAATTGAATATTCTTGTTTTTCTATAATTGTACATAAATTTTCATGAAAGGAAATAAATTTTTCAATTTCTTTTAAATTTAATTCTTTTTTTTGTTGATATTTTAATTCTTTCATTTCATAATTTAAATTAATTAATTCATCTTTTATATTTTCATCATTATTTAAATTATTTCCAAATATATCATTATTTTTAATTATATAAAAATTATTTAAAAAATTAATAAAAAAAACATTAAATGAATTTTGTGTAATTGGTTCATTTTGTAAAGTTAATTGTGAATAAATACTTCCATCAATTTTAGAAAATAAATGTGAAATTAAATTACATTGTTTTACAATTGTTGATTCTTTCCAATTTAATTTTTCATAATTAGAAGATGTATAAACTAGGTAATTTAATTTACAATATTCTATTTTTTTAATTAATATTTTATATTCTTTTAATGATTTTATATTTAAATTATTATTAGAATTATTAAAATTAGAATTTAAATTATTATTAGAATTATTAAAATTATTTAATTTGTTATCTTTTTTATAAATATAGTAATTTAATAAAATAGGTCTAATTAATTTACAAAATAAAGCAAAAGGATAATATTGTGTAAATTTAAAAAAAGGAAATTGATCAAATATCCAATTCATAATATCATCATGATAATTAACTTTAATTGTATTTAAATTATTATTTTTTAATTTAATATATTTTAAAAATCTTTTAACATGTAATTTTGTTATCCTTAAAAGGAAAGGTATAATTTTAGAAGGTGATAAACATGATCTATATTGAGCTAACATATCAATTGTACTACGATTAAATGATTTTTCATTGACAAATGAATATTTATATAAATGGACTCCACTTCTCCTTATTTGGAATTTAAATAATTCATTTGAATTTAAATTTTTTAATTCTCTTATACAATTATTTAATAATAATAATATCATATTACATTTTTGTACATATTTTTCAATCATTTGATAATCAATTTGATTTAATAAATTATTTCGACTATTTCCATTATTAGAAGTTACTATATCTAGTCTATTAAATTGATTTGGAAATATATCTAAATGTACATCTAAATCACTACAATTACTTTTAAATAAACTACTTCCACTACTATTACCACCACTATTACCATTACCATTACTATTATTACCACTACTATTACTACTATTATTACTATTACGATTATTGGATGATGAATTAGATGATGAATTGGAATTACTATAATGGGATGATCCAATTCTATTAGTATTATTAGTATTATTAGTATTAGTATTATTATTATAGGAAGAGGATGCTGATACTGGTGATGGATCAAATAGTGGATATTCACTACTACTTGTACTCGTTAATTTCATTGATTGTTTCCATGTATTAGAAGTATTATTATTATTATTATTGGATGATGAATTAGATGATGAATTTCTATTATTATTATTATTATTGGATGAAGAAGAATTGGATGAAAATCTATTAGCAAATGATGATGAAGGTTTGAATGATGGAATTGATGATTGATTAGAAGATGAAGATGATGGATTGAATAACATTGTAAAATTATCTAATAAATGTACACTGAATGGTGAAGTTTCACTAAATATAAATCCATTCAAGTTTAATGTAAATATTATAATCATTTCTTGTTGTTGTTGTTGTTGATCATTGGAAGATGTATTGGATTGAAGTGATGAGTGTTTTGATTTCTTAGAAGACTTGTTGTTAGAATTATTAGTGGTGGGTATTTTGATAGCTGCATTTGAACCTATTTGTTGTTGAAGTGTACTATTAGATGATGTTATTATAATATTATTATTATTATTATTATTCGAATTGTTATTATTAGAAAGTTGATGATAAATATCATATTGATTGATCACTCTTTCCATTAATAATTCACCACTACTTCCTGTACTTGATGAAGATGATGAAGATAATTGATCTGTCATCACAACAATATTCCGATTATAATATTCACTACTATTTACTATTGAATAGGTTAATATTGGATCAATTCCATAAAACATATATCTATCTAATATATTTACTATATACTTTTGAAATTGTTTAATATAGGAAGATATCATTGTGTGATCATCATCAAGAAATCTGAAAGTTGACATTTTTTTTATATTATTCATTTTAATTGGTAATTGACATGACTTGCATTAAGAAATATGGCCTTGATTATGATCTTTTAATTTACACATATAATATTTACATAAATAGTCTTGTTACATTGAAATTAACACTAAGTTTAACAATCTTTCAATTGAGTTCTTTGAATGTTTTAAAACTCAGTAAATAATGGGAGGTCAAAGACATTTGTTTTGGCGCCAAAATTATTTACGAAGAGAAAGTTTAAAAAAAATGGAAACACCACCAACAAATCATACTCACGTTGTTATACCACCCTTAATGGTATCAAATGCTACATCAAGTCATAATATATCGGCCTCTCATACTAGTAGTCATCAACATGTTATGGGAAATAATTCAATGATTATCGGAGGTAGTGATGAATATTTAAATGCTTCTATCAATTCTTTGGATAATTATGGCTACGGATCTTTAGAGAAAATGGCAGCAACACTTACAGAACCATCAAATAGTACGTGTCAGTTTTTAATAATTATTGGAATTGTTTCAAGTTTTTGGTATGGGATTAATTGAGAAAAAGAAAAAAACAAATCCTCTACATGAAGTTAGAATGAGGGAAAAGCAAATGTTGGACAATCAAAGAAAAAAATTATCATCAACTATAGATAGAAATTTGGAAAGAAAAAGATTATCATCAGCCTATACGAATTCGAGAAAGCAGGAGAAGGACTCAAGTGTCAACTTGGGTAATTCCATCTCTTTATTAAAATCGCCCAGAGAAATTCAATTATCCCTCAATCCAACTACTCAACTCAAAGAAGACCAAGAAGAGGAGACTGAGTTTGATACAACATTTTCAAGAAAATTCCACTATGTACATATTCAAGATGAAGATGTTACTGTAACAAAAGCTTTCAGTAGAGTATCAACAGCCGCCAAAAATCAAAGAAGAATTAGTACACTTTCAGAATCTTATTTTATTCCTTCGCTTGTAGAATTGTGTGCTAACGAAATTGCTAAAAACTTTGAAAAACGTCCAACATTTGAAAAAATTCCAACTGAGCTAAGGCAGCTAATTTCAAAAAAGCTCTCTGTCAATATTCCTCTTCAAATATCAGTACCTCTAATCGATGATGATGACTATTGGAAAAAATGTTGCTTTATGAGATGGTCTATTGGACAACTCGGAACATACTGTACAAAACAAGGAGTGGAGTTATTTCATGAAGAAAACCCAGCAAGAGTTGAAGATATCATGATAAAAGGAAGTTTCAAAAGTAGAGTTCAACAAAGATATAAGAAATCAAAAGGAAGTAAGCTGAATCCTGAAGAAGAGAAAAAAGAAGCATCCAAAACTTGGAAACAACTTTATCTAGAAATTAACTTTGATGAGTTTTTAGAAACACTCCAACCTCAAAAAACCATTCTGCAAGAACTTAAAACTATTTTTTATCAACCAAAGCCAGAAGAAAAGACTACTTTAAAGAATTCAGAACTTACTACATTGAGAACGCTTCATGAAATCAAGCGAAAAATCAATGAAGAAAAGGCGCTGAAAGACGAAGTTGCTCTTCTTATGGCTCAAACAGACCCTCAAAAGAAGAAGGGAAAGAAAACAGAGGAAACAGTGATAGATATTCCAGATCCAAACTTATCAGTAATTAAAGCATCAGACAGTGACGAGCCATCCAATTGTGAAATATTCCAAAAGTGCCTTCATTCAAATCAAATGAGACCAAATGTGAACTATTACCTGTTACACTGCAAAACCTTATCAAAGGAAGAATATGAACAATATCCAATTGAAAAATTTAGAGACAAATTGACAGAACTGTTTGACGGATTGCAAAGTCAAGGTACTAGTAGATTAAGCAAGATCACTAATGATGACGATATTTTTACATTCTATGAAAGTGCAATCCAAAAAAGAGAACAAAAGATGCATATGAATCAAGATTTAAAAATGCAGTATTGGTTATTAAACAAGAAGGAAATGTTGGAAGAATCAGATGCAGATATTCAACAAATGTTCGAGTTTATAAGGAAGAAAAACCAAGAGCATTTAACAGAGTTATGTAACATGTCAAAAGGTTATGTCAAGGATATTAATATCAGAGGTATTAAGGAGCATATTGATATCCAGGAAATATTTGAAATTTTACCTTTCCTTGATACTGTAAGAATCGAATACTCTGCAAGAAATGTTGGTATGACATTCGACACGTCTTTATTGGGAATTAAGAAACGAGATTGTCAAATGCTGGCAAAAATACTTTCTGATAGCTCAAAAGCCAAGTTTTTAACTACTTTAGTTTTATCTGAAAACCTTATTGATGACGAGCAAACAAAAATTATAACAAGTGGACTTTACCTGAACACGAGAATAACTTCTATTGATTTGTCTCACAATAGGATTAGTGTAGAAGGGTGTAAATCAATTGCAGCCATGTTAAAGGCAAACAAAACTCTCAAAATTCTTCATATTTCAGACAATGATATCCAAACAGATGGTGCTCTCTATATTGGATCTAGTTTGAAATTCAATTCATCTTTGAAAGAATTGAATTTAAGCTTGAACAAAATTGGTGATGCTGGAGCTTTGTCAGTAATTACAAACTCTAAAAATTTACAAAAATTGAACTTGGCCAACAATGTTATTACAGAGCAAACAGGAAATCAATTAATAAGAAAAATGGAGGAATACAAAGAATCGAATGTTCAAAACAGTTTCTTACCAAAACGATTGGACATCTCTGGTAACTTTATTAACATTGATTGTTGTAAAATATTGGAAGACCTATGCTTTGACACTCATTACATTGAACACTTGGATGTACGTCTAAATCAGGATATTAAGAAGGAGAGAATTTCTTTAGAATAAAGACAACAAACCCGCCAAAACTTAAAACAAAACTACAAAAAAAAATGACGTTAGTTCTGAAAGCATCAAACAAGTTGGAAATTAATGATGGTATTTGTGTTCAACAGTCGGAGTCATATAGTGATTTAAATCATGTTGTTATCGACAGTATTCCATCATTATTAGGGTTTTATGAAAAAAAGAAACAAGAAATCAATAAAACCTTAAAGAAGATAAAACAATCAAATAATAGTTGTTATTCAAGACAACACACTGATGATAGTAAGAAACAAGCTACAGACAACAAGGCTGGGGATCAAAAACAACAACCCACCTCAAACAATCCTAACAATAATCAAAATCCTCCTACTCAAACTCCAAATAATACTAATACACCAGGAGGAGGAAATAACCAACCTCCTCCTAATAACAACCCACCTCCTAACAATAATCCACCACCTCCTAATAACAATCCACCCCCAAACAATAATGCAAAAAAACCTGAAGATCAAAAATTTTCAAAGAAACTTGCCAAGTTTACATCTCAATTTAAAGTGAACCCAGAAGGAAAATTCAAAACGTATTGGGATCTATTTGTTCTGTTAATCATATTCTACAATTGGGGAACAGTTGCTTACAGATGTGCTTTTTACAAGTCTGATTATTTTTGGATTGGTATTGATTTAGTAATGGATTTCATTCTGTGGATTGATATATTGTTGAGGTTTAGAATTACATACTTGGAATTTGGCCTCCCAGTTACAGATTCAAAACGTATTGCAAAGATATATGCCAAAAGTTGGGGTTTCTGGATAGATGTATTTGCAAATTTACCCTTTGAGTTTATTGGTTATGGAGCAACACCAAGGTACTGGTCGTTCTATAGGATCAATAGATATGCCAGAGTTTATAGGTATAATGACTATTTCCAAACATTTGAAGAAGGATTTCCAATTATTCACCCAGCCATTATGAAATTGATTAAGTATATTATGTTGTTCGTTGTTTCTCATTGGATTGTTGCAATGTTTTATCAATGGGTTCTTGAAACTGAAGTCACACCATTTTCAGGTTTCTTTCTTGGAGATATGTCTCAATCAGAAGCTCAAAAAATCCTACGAGCAATCTATTGGTCAATTGGTCAAATGAACGGATACGCCAATACGAATCCAGATAGTGACTTGGAGACATGGTGTATGTTACTTATTACAATTATTGGTTTAGCACTTTACGTTGCTATCGTCGGTACAGTCGGTTCTATCTTGGGTGATTTGAATGCTCAAAAAGAAGAATTTGAGAATTTCCTTGATGGTATCAAAGCCTTTATGAATTACAGAAAATTGACTCAAGATTTGCAAGCAAAAGTTATTGAATACTACACTTATCTTTGGAAAACAAGAAAAACCTTAGATGAAGACAAAATGTTAGCAGAACTTCCAGAACATTTGAAGATTGAAGTATCTCTATTTTTAAATAAGGATATTATCCAAAAGATTCCATTCTTCCAACATTTAGAAGAACAGTTTATCAATTCTCTAGTATTGAAATTGAAACCAAAAGTTACTTTACCAAATTCCTTAATTGTAAGAAAGGGAGATATTGGAAGAGAAATGTTTTTCATCAACAGAGGTTCTGTTGAAGTTATTGGTGAAGCGAATAAGGAGGGTGTGATTCCTGTTTTTGCTACATTATCAGAAGGTTCTTTCTTTGGAGAAATGGCAATCATTAACAATTCCAAGAGAGGAGCATCAATTAGAGCTAAAGGTTATTGCGATCTTTCAGTTTTGACTAAGGAAGACTTTAAACTTATCATGGAAACCTTCCCAGAAACTGTGAGAGAACAAATTAACAATGAAGTTAAGAAGAGAACTGCTCCTCCACCACCACCTTCTTCTAATCCACCACCACCTCAACAACAACAACAACCTCCTCAAAGTAGAGCTAATTCCTCATTGACCCTTCCACAACCATCAAGTACAAACAGCAGTAGACCATCATCTTCTACTTCAAGAAAATAAAGGTTTCTTTTTTAAAGTCAAACATCACTTTTCCTTGACGAGGTCACATCATTAAAGTAGCCGTTCAATACTCAAAATAAAAATGCATGATGATGATTATGATGAGGATAAAAAGAGCAAGGAACCACTATCAATATTAGGATTTAATTTATCATATTGTGATGGATATATACAATTTATATTACTTGCATCATTTATAATATTCTGTTTTATGATGTCGGGTGTAACACAAGAATATATTTTCACTCAATACAAAGGCTTTGATTTCGGATTTTTTGCAACATTAATACAATTTATTGTCTATGCAGGTTTTGGTTATTTTGGTTATAGGAAAACAAAAACCTCTTCCTCCTCAGCTCATTCCGATGCTTTATTACGAGTGAATAGTACTTTAAATTTTGAAGATGAAATTAAATTCATTTCGCCTTCAACTTTATTACCAATTAGTAGTAGTGGTAGTAGTAATAATAATACAAATAACAATAATTATACAATGAGCCAAAATACTACTCATCAATACAAGAGTACATTTAATAGTAATTATAGCAATAATACATTTAATAATTTTAATACAAATATCAGTAATAATCATACCTATAATAACAATTATAGTACTCAATCAACTCAATCATCATCAACATTGAAAAATTATTTAATAACAATCTTTAATTTATTACATTTTGATAACAAACTACCAATTAAATATTATTTTATATTAGGATCATGTATGGTAATTGGTATGGGGTTAGGAAATCAATCATTAGCCTATTTAAATTATCCAACTAAAGTTTTATTTAAAAGTTCAAAACTTTTAATTACAATGTTTGTGGGTGTTTTACTTTTAAGGAAAAGATACAAAACTTTGGATTATTTAGCGAGTATTTTCTTACTTTTAGGATTATTTTCACTTGTTGGAGCAAATCAACATCATTCTATTAATAGTGTTAAATTTGAATATTTTGGAGTTTTCCTTATTTCACTTTCTTTAATTTTTGATTCAATTTCATCAAATTACAAGAGAAAGTACTAGAGAAAT